GGGGGGGGGCCCAGAGAGGAACTTTTGCAGATAGTGTCAATACCACCTCACCATATATGAAATAATATTGACTTATTTAATATTTATTTAAGTCCTGCAGATGAAATTTGCACAGCATACAGTACTTCTCTTTAATTACACTTTTCCAAAGTGTCAATCACACTTTACCAATTGTGACCAATCAAAAGAGGGCTAGGCATACATGTGAAACCATGGTCTAACAAGCACACTTGTTTTTGCCACAAACATGTTTGCATTTGTTTTAACACTATCGGTTTTGTGGGACCTTTGCAGCAATATTCAAGAGGTGGAAAGGTCTATTAGAAACTTTTTTCAATAAACCCCTACCCTACATGCTAATGTTATACTACCCAGGCTCTTCTAGTACTAGTATTAATAACTGGTACTGTAGCTGTAAACTGATATTAATAAACCAGAACTGTTGTTAGGATAATAGTGTACATACTCTTTAGCATTAAAACTCTGTGGGAACATTTTCAAGATCTCAAATGTAATGTTTTCAACATTTTGATGAATGTGATAAGATAAAAATGTGTCTTGTCTGATAAAGGCCAGCATTTATTTGCAGAAATAACATGTAGAGCTTTCAACAGATACTGTACTATGAAATTTGATTGATGTGGGTGAGAACTATAAAATCATAAAAATTTGTTTGTTTTCAGTATTATGACCATACCGAAAATTCTTATCCTTATCATTTTCATAATAATGATAATCACTACAGTAGTTGTCATTTTCATTTGTCTACATCATATGATAATTTATTATACTCATCATTATCGTCATCAATTTATAATTATCATCTTCCTCATCATTATCAAATTATCATTATCTTCCTTATCATCATCATCATTATCATCAAATTATCATTATCATCAACCTCATCATCATAACATCTTAATTTTAATCTTTAATCATCTTTATGCTATCTTCATTATCAATGCCATCATCCTCACCATTTTTATTATCATTGTTACCACCATTATCTCATCATAATCATAATCATGAGTATAAATTTATTTCCTCCTCTTAAATTGTTTTAAAAAAGTAGACACTCAATATTTAGTTGTCTGGGGTTTTTTCCTACTTATATTTTTTAATATATCTATTATTTTTTTTTTTTAATACTTGCCAACTATTTTTTGTTAATCTCATCAATATAATGAAATTTTTATTTACATATTCTTTCTAGGGTGGTACATTTACTGTGTCCAACCTTGGTATGTTTGGAGTGAAGAGTTTCTCAGCTATTATTAACCCACCGCAAGCTTGTATTTTAGCTGTAGGGGCAGCTCAGAAAATGATGGTCCCGGATGACAGTAGTGAAGAAGGGTAAGAATTCCATCATCATGAACTATTTAATCAACAATCATGTTATATAAAACAAATAATATTAATAAATTCTGTATCATTCATGCACTAACACATAATATTATGTATACAGGGATTGTGTATTCAGGAAAGATCAATGGGTATGGTCACACAAGGACATGGCCACTTTTGGCAGTCAAACGTGTCTGATATATTAGTCAAATTGTTCAGCCTCCAATTCCGTATATTTTTTTTATTGCTCCAACCTGTGGATTATTTACCTTCATGCACCTTGCAACTACACTCACAGCCCCTGCCAGTCTGGACTAGTCTGTGCCTTTTGGTTGATACAACAGAACCCTAGAGGAGTAGCAAGATATAAGGGCGTGGCCATAATTTTGGAAGCTTCTGTTAGTACTATAAATTGACCTTTTGACAGTCGAACAGGGGTCTGATAATTAAATGGTCAGCCTCCAGTTTTTTTATTACTGCTTCCAACCTGATGTTTTTCACCTACCTTAATGCATATGTTGTAACTACACTCAGAGCTCTTGCTATTACTATTATGGACCAGATTAGTGCCTTTCAGTTATAATTGCTAATGCGACCGGATCCTTAATATAGAGGAGTAGTAAGTAGTTAATCCCTGTCCAGACTATCAAATGTGACTGGCCTAAATATGGTCATGGTGATATCACATCATGACCATATATAGGCACATCATGACTATATATATATATGAGCACACATAGTGTGAACAGAGGTAAGGGATGCGTAGTTCACACCCGTGTAACGTTAGACTTTTTTTTTGTACCTTGTTTTGCTAGTATGTTTTTTAAAGATCGTCAGATGACCGCGGGAAAAAAATGAAAATAAATTTTTGTTTTCTTACTTAGCAATAGCTTTTGCCAAAAACATTCAGACGGAGGAAATAGAAATAAAATTTTCTTGTTGAATGTAAACAGTGTAGTGTATGGGATGGTTAATAAATGCTTTAAATTTATATAATTAGGAAGTTTATGTATACATCTTATATTTAGAGATTGTATGTTGCGGGATTAATAAGAATAAAGAAAAACTAACATTTTTTTCTGAAATTTTCATTTTTTTTTTGTGGCGACAGGTGCTCTAATTAGCTAAAATTAGATTTTTATTTGAAATCATCATTGGCGGGTGACGATTTCGCTATTAACAAGGTATAAAAAAAGATGAAGCTGATGAAGCTTTCAAACTTGGAAAAAGAAGTCTTCATCTTTGCTTACATTTTGTAACAATTTTCCAAGTAAAAATATTGATTGATTGATTGATTGAATATGATGATATATTATATTGTAGAAGTTTACAGTATGTGATTTTGTAGATAGAGTAAACTCTGAATAGAAAAAAAGTGTTGAGAAAGTTTGAGTGAACTACCCGAGACTCGGTTCAATTTTGTCGCGTCTGATTGACAAGTAAATAAATTCAAATCTTCCATGTGTCGTCAGGACACATCCTTAATTCCTACGGTGATCAATCAACTAGTAAAGATAAATTGAAGAGTGCAACGTAATGCCACAAACGTGCCGTGAGTAACGCTGTTTTCATGGAAAAAAAGAACGTACACTAGTTTTTCAGTGAACTGAAGCGGACAATCTAGGGACATTTGTTTTATAGATTTTTATTTGTATCCTTAATATTGTTATTTATTTATTTCATTTTCGAATGCCTTACAAAAAATGGCATTCACATAAAAAGATTTATAAATTTAAGGCAGATGGGGAGCTAGCACAGACACTGAGTCCTTCAACCGCTTCCTCCCCTCCCCCCACTGATACAGAGGAGCATTGTTACAAATTTAATTTAGTGTAGTAAATCCTTGCCGATCAAAAGGACCCATAGATAGTGGCTGGAGATTATCCCCAGTTTCAAGCTGCGTAAAGTGGATGAGAGTGTAGTGCTCCCCCTGGGTGGGACACAGGTCCACCGCAGGTCACTCCCAGCAATTTGCTGGTACCCATTGATACAGCTGGGTAGAATGAACCTGCTCCTTGGATCTACAGCTGGTGTGGCAATGGTTAGAAAATGCATCATATCAGTCCCCTCACCATATCCTTTTACCTCATTATAGTCTGCTCATGTCAATATTCTACTCTACTACATAGAGTGAGAAAAAAAGCAGACTATAGACACTTGTTAACAGTGCAGGAGTAGGTCTGTTTCTATTAACAGAAAAACTTTTTTCTGTAATACTGAAAAGCGGCGGAAAAAATAATTTATTTTTAGTTATGTCACCCGGGATGGATCAAAATCTTTGGCAGCCTGGAGTTGTCCCACCAGGCGAGTAGAGTATACATTATAATTTTCTTTAGCAAAGCAATTAGAACAGCACATTATTTCAAGCGCTGTGGCAATGACATCACAAAGTTCAACAAACTGAACACTAATCCATTATGAACAACGTGTATAACTTGTGGATTCGGAATGAAAGCAATTTAATAATTGGTCAATATCATTATGGCGTCTTGTGTTGTATATTTGTCATGGGTACACTTATTCATACCGTGTCAGATCGCATTACTGTTATTTGTAATGGTTGATGCTTGGATACGGCATGATTCATGGTCTCTACCCTATAAATAAACTTAATCGAATCTAATCTAGTTATAATATTTATTTATTTATTTAAGGGTGGAGTGGGAACAGTCTAGCAGAAGCTGATCATTTGGGATTATCAACATGTACCAATACAACTTTACAGAAAAAATTTTCTACAAATCTAAATATCAAGAAAGAAGAATGTTATGAGAGAAGAGAGTGTGAGCAATTAGAGATGTGAGAATGTGAAAGTTTTGAGTTATGAGGGAAGAGAGTGGAAGAGAAAAGATGTAAGGAAGAAGAATGTGAGAGATTGGAGATGCAAGAGAAAAAAGATGTAAGGAATAAAAATGTGAGAGATTAGCGATAAAAGGAAAGGGAAATGTGAGAGATAAAAGATGGTAGAGGAACATTTGAAAGATTGGGGATGCGAGAGAGGAAAATTTGATAAAAGAGAAAAAAAGGTTTGGGATATGAGAAAGAAGAATGTGTGACACTGGGGATGATAGATAAGAGAATGTGAGAGACTAAGAATTTAAGAAACAGGAGTGAGAGTTGTGAACGTGAAAGAAAGTTGTTAATATTAAGGTAAAAAAATAAATAAAAAATCTTGTGTTGGCTACGTTTTTGGACAATAAAAAAAATGGGTAGGTCAGTAGGAAAAGTTTTTTTTTCCACCAATAATGTGTGTATGCCTTAGTAGAAAATACACAAAAACACAACAAAGACCATTTTAAAATCTATATTGAAGAGCAAAACGGTTGCATAACACCGTCGCATCGCCTACCGTTAAAAAAGTTAGGCCTATTCCTGTCTTTTTCGCTCATTAAACAAATATTTTTTGTTGTCAAAAAGAAAAAAGAAGAAAGAACTAAAATGCTGAACCTCAATTTCGTATATTTTGGGTCGGCCGGGTGTGGCCAACACAATAATTTTTTTTCTTTGGCCTAAGGGAATAAGAATGTGAGAGAAAAGATACAGTAAGAAAAAAGAAAAATTGGGAGTACAAAAAGGTTATGAAGGTGATGCAAGACCAGAAGTAAATGACAGCATGTGAGTGATGAATGTGAGAGCATATTATATTCCAAGGCTTTTTTATTTGTCTGATTTTAGATGAAGCTTTTAGTGTGATTGACATGTTGTCATTAATTTTGCATACCTGTGTGTTTGAGGCTGTGTGAATTGAGCCAAGATGTTAGTTACCATCCCTCTCAAGGGTGCTGCTTGATAGACACTTTCAATTAACAGAAGTGTTTAATTAATAATTAATTGCATCAGTTTTTGTCTTCTATATTTCATTGTCATTTTATTCATATCAAACAATATGTTGGGTTGTCAAATTTACTATTAAAAGTAGAATAAATAAATTAAAATGTCAGTTACTTGGAGCGTTGCGTGGTAATGGCTAAATTATTTTCCGATAACAAAGAATTTTTTTCCACCTATTTATTTACACTTTCAGAATGATCACTTCTCTTTCCTTTTGTTTTTTGTAGCTTGAGTTCTGAATTAAAACTCCAATTACATCGTTGTCAATTTAGTGACAACCAGTCTATTTTTTTACATGCACTAGTAACTGGCAAAAGCAAGCTTTGATCAGATAACATCACCACATAGTGCTGTAATTTAGTTGATCGGTCGGTCAGATCATGGACCTATTAATAATTATTAAAAGGTCCATGGTCAGATGGTTAGAAAATTTTCTTTTTTTTCTGGATTACCTTTCAATGTGGGGACATTGATTCTTCTTTGAATTAAAGTAAGTGTATTATAGTGCTGCGAATATTTGCTGGTAGGTTATATTTCAAAGTTAGACAGAATGATATTAATGGATGATTATTCTGGTCTTCAAAGTTAAATTCAAATAGTTGGTTCTATTTAAAAAAAAAAAAAATAAAAATAAATGCAGTTAAATGGAGCAGTGGTTTGCATCAGGACACTCAGAAATGTCATTACAATGCTCTGTTAACTTAGGTATACCACGTCCAGTGAGGCAGTGATGGTTCGTAGTACAGTACTAAATATAATACAGTTCAAAAGAGTATTGCCTTTGATGCGGCTTCAGTGGTGTATCTAGGAGTTCGATCAGCTAACTCGCAAAATTAGGTGATTTTAGGTGCTTTTTATAAAATTGACCATGATTTTTTGGGGCGAGCCTGGTGGGGGCGCAAGTAATTTTTTTAGGGAGTGCGCTGGGAGTGCTCATCCCCAAAAAATCATGCTCAAGTAGTTAAAAATCACCTTAAATCACAATAATTTGCGAGCTAGCATTTCCTTATGTAACCATCGATCCCCCACACTTCACATTGCGCCCCATCGGTCCCCCATTTCAAGACTCCTAAATATGACACTGTTTGCAGCATGGCCGAAGGCCAAGGGTTCAATATGAATGACGGCTCGTAGTTCCATTGCACCATCTAATTAAAAACATGTGTAAGATATTACTTCTTGCAGGATTGTTTCATCTGGATTCTATATCATTATATTCTTGTGTCGCAGTAAGTCAAATGATGCGAAATTGCATCATCGGACTGATTATTCCCAAACGCCGTACCAGCAACAACTCCATGCAAAACTGCCCTTTAGGTCTCTGTTAAAATTTTCACGCGTTTACAGACATCGCATATCCTATTCGTATCATTTCACAAAATTGGTTATTAAGTGGATGGGGAACATAGTGAAGGACTCCCCCTAGAGACTCATTAACTCATCTCTGGAGGCTTTTACGGTAGTAATAGGTGTGTTTTTTCATTAACGTTACGTTTGGTGTTACTTATGCTTGCGGACTAAATATGCAATTGGTGGATGTTTGGATTTGTAATGCAATAATTTTTGTTAATCCTCCCCTGGCATTAAGGTTTCATGTTTGACTGTTTTGATACAGTATTGGTTGCCGTCATCAAGTAAAGTTTATGACGTGTTCACCTTTATTATCAGATAAATTTACGAAGAAATATTTACTAAAGATCATTTCAAGACCAGGACCCAAGTGAAACCAAAGATCTAATATAATTCATATTCATCTTTATTGCAATCAATTAAAACATATAGCAGAATTAATTATTGGATAAAACAAGTTAACATACTGAACAATTAATTAAAGTACACATTCAAAAGACATCAATTAGATAAAGTACAAGGAAAAACACAAAGTACATCAAGATAATAAATAATATTGCAAAATGTCCATGAAATTCAATTTGAATTATATTGAAAAATATAAAAGGGTCAATATTCAATAAGTAAACAAGGGGCATAAAAAAAAATTCTTAATGCAATTATTTAAAAAAATTGAATAAAATATTAATTGAATGGAAAAATATTGAACAAAAACAAAGAATTCTGTTAATGCTAATTATTTAATAGTAATATTAATTGCTTATCAATTGTTTGGAAAAGTTCGGTTGATCCAGCATGAAGTGAAAATTGCTCTCTTAATCATTATAAACAAATTTTTCTAAAGAGCATTTAATGATAGTGTAATATTACAATTTATTATCAATTATCAATTATTTAAATTTAGAATTTGTATTATCACTGTTGTTATTTTGTGCTAATTACTTCAGTAAAGTGTATTCACAATTTATAAGCTTTGCAAACTATTTTCACTTAACTGTAGAAATTGATCTCCGCTTTGTGTTACAGGGCCCAGTTTATAGTGATCTTCTTTTTGGAAGATTTATTTTGGAAAATATTATTGTATAGCCCCACACAGCAGAAGTATATAAACCTGTTAGCAGATTAGCGTAGTCAAAATAATTTGGCAAAAATGTTAATATTTCTGCTTTTGTAGAAGAAATTTGATTTTACTTGAAGTACAATACTGTACTTTTTTTTTGTCATTACTGTTCCACTCAAGAAAAAAAGAAGACTTTTGTCCTAATGATTTTGTGCAAATTTCTATCACATGTTTTTTTTTCCTTTACAGCTTCCGAACTGCCACTGTTTTAAGTGTAACCCTAAGTTGTGACCATCGTGTGGTTGATGGAGCTGTCGGTGCCCAGTGGATGCAACATTTCAAGAGATTCCTGGAGAAACCCGAAACTATGCTGTTATAAATAATAAGCGATCTAAATACAGAAGCACTTGACGTTGTTAGTCAAGTACGTGTGAGATATTATTAGTGTATGTCATCTAATTACAGATACTTTATTTATCCAAATATGGCAAGGTGTTCTTTCTAGAGGATTGTTGACACATTAGTTTGCATTAAAGATACAGTAATTCTCAAATGAAATTAAACAATTTGCCAGATTTACATTTGCGAGATTTTCTTGGTTGAACATACAGTTTATATATACAATTCATTCTGTATTATGTCTGTATATTGCACTGTATTGTTTACAGTATATCCATATATATTGTATTTCACAAATATAATTTTCAGTTGTCCTGTGTGTTTATGTATATAATGTTGTAGCTGAGACTATAAACAAATACAATTAAAAAAGGGTGCCCTCTATTGGCACTGCCATTGCTGGGGACCTCCTTTGGTTCAACGGCAAGTATGTAAGTAGATTAAGATACATACTATAATTTCCGATATTTACATTTCGTAGCAGATGATGCGTAAAATCCGCTACCAAGTCTCTAGCTATGACATTTGCAGATGGACATTGATAACTATGTTCGTGACCAGAAGCCAGTTGAGACCATGATTGGATGCAGGGTTAGTGCACTCTGCTCAGTGGTGTAAAAGGTTTCAACCGTTTTACATTGATTTAAATGTCTCTCCTGGCTCCCTCCTATTCAACTTTTTCTTTTGATAAAAGTTTTTACGAAAGGCAAAAACATATACAATGCCATATATGGCATTAGCTAGACCGGCAATGCTACAACATCATATATAGTTATATATATACCGTAGTTACTTGGATATCAGCCCACTAAATGGTTTGTATTATTCAGATTTCAAGGTTATTGTTCGTCTCTCTTGCTCATTTCCTCTACACATCTCGTCATTTAAGAATTTTTATTTATTTTTTGTTTAACCAGACAGTATTTTTATTTGCAAATCTTACGTTTTTGATTTATACAATAGATAATATTTATTATATGATTTTTGTATACAATGTATTGGAGATCTGCTATTGTATTGCGTAAAAGTGGCACAGCGAAGTGGCTCAGGTTTCCAATCTTGAGGTCAGTGGTCCAAATCCTATTTTTTTTTATAGTTTGTGTACTTCGGTTTGTTGTAACATAGAATGAGATTTGGCAATATGTTCACGGGTAATAATACTGTAAAGACTAGTTTCCATACAATCGCTACACTGTCGCTACAGTGTTTTCACTGCAATCGTTGTGCTGCGTAGCAGTCCCCGACACGATCAGGAAGGCTCCCTGATTCAACCGACCAATCAAAATATCCAAAAGATGTCAACGATAGCGTGTAGCGATTATATGGAAACCAAGCTTTAGCGCCCTGATACTTTGGCAGTGGAACAGAATGCCCACAAATGATCCAATAAGCACCTCTACTAAATACAGTAGACTTCGCTCTAGGATTAACGTTGCGGCTTAATTTTAAATTAAAGTCACTGTGCTTAATCAAGAGATACCAATGCGCTTTTATGTTTCATATTATCAGGACAGTGTTAAGTAACATATTTATCACAGGTCAAATAATATAGTTGCAACGAGTAACATATTCCTTATATTGTAATAAAGCACCAATCTTGAATAAACGCCGCTCTCAAATAAGACCTGCGCAAAGGCCTCCAGAAGTGTTATAAACACCACGGTACATTTGCAGTATATAAAAACTTACCATGTAGTACTGCATTACTACTTCTACTATTATTATTATTATTATTATTGTTGTTGTTGTTGTTGTTGTTGTTGTTGTTGTTGTTGTTGTTATTAGAGCGGTTTGGCGCAGCGTTTGCTGTTCTGATTCTCAGCCTTCAGGTCGGAAGTTCAATCCCTCGCTGCTCGCTGTGTATTTCATTTCTTTCCTTAGGCAAGGCACTTCACACCTACAGTTGTCTCTGAACAACCAGGAGTACAAGTGGGTTCCTTTAAGTTCAAACACAAAATGTGCTGATACAACTGCAAAATTATGGAATTCACCCCCAGGGACCCGAGTATGTGTTCAATATGTGCTTGATCCGATGACGGGGGTAATAATGCTAAGCGCATAGAGGTCTCTATGCGCTATACAAGTCGACCATTATTATATTATTATTATTGTTGTTATTATATAGACAGCACATAATTTTATTTATATACATAGCCTACTAGTTTGTTTATTGATTGTATAACTATGAATTCTCAAGCGATTATTTACCAAAGGCATGGCATTGAAAAAGGCAATTTTTTTAATTGCCATGGTGATTAATGGATGTAACGAAAGGTGTCCTTTGTACATAGCTCTGCTGAAATTTATAAACATGCAACTGAAAACGTATTAAACAGGGAAAACATTCACGTTTGGGGCACATTTTGTGGTTCCCCTATGACTGTGTAATGCTATATATATTATAAAAATATAACATGGTTTGATAAGTAGTGAATTTAAATTTCAATACGTATGGATAATTGACCAACTGCAGACGCCAATGGAGGTAGTCCAAATCATCAACACCGAAAGAAGTAGAAGTCACCAGGGCCTACTTCGCGGAAATCGGTATAGCAAAACCAAAATCACAGTATGATGCTAAGAAAGTGCCAAATTTAGTCGTAAAATAACCTTCTTGCACGTGTAGGATTGGAACCCAGAACCCTATGATTGGAAGGAAAACATCTGAATGATGTAGCCATATTGGGCAGTGCATGCCATTCTATTTTCAGTTTTACTACCCTACGTGTTGAGCATTAATTTGGAAAATGAGGATTACGTTTCTCAAAATTGTATGGTGTGTCAAATTTTATGATTGGTTTCAAACCTCGTTGATCTTTGATTTCAAAAATAAATTTACAAATTATAATTTACTTCGGCTTCCCGTATTTTATTTGGATAATATGCTTTTGTTCTCAGTATATATGACAACCTATCAAAGTAGTGTTTTTTTTATTGATTTTACAACCATTCGTCAGCCACCTGATGGGTTCTACTCATATCAAGTTATGTTATTTTGTTGCAAGTAAAAATGAATGATTGCTCGATCGAATGACTGTATAATAGGCTGATTGACTAATGATTTAATAAGGTGATGATGTTGATTGTTGTTGATGTATTATTCAGTTGATGAATTAGAGTTTGGTAATTCATCCAGCGTTTTTTTTTCCCTCTCAAAATGATACATCATAGTCATTTTACCTTACTCTCTTAATGTGAGTGAGTGAATTTCACTTTAAACGAGTTCCTACATTAATCACTCCAATTTTACTTTTGCTAAATCCACTCTTAAATGAGTGAATATTATTCTTAAAACAGTGAATAATTAGTAAAATTCTCCCTCATTCGATTAAAAAACTCGCTCTATTTCACTCTACAGGCCCGTAGCCAGGTGGTTGGGTTGGAAGGGTTCAAACGCACCCCCTCCCCCTTTTTTAAGAAGTACCCTTTTGAAATGTATGCAAAAATTTCAAGAGTGACATTTCTGGGCATCTAAGGATCGAGGTCATGAAAATTCGTATTTTGTAACAACTGTCATAGGTGTAAAGCCCTTTTTTGGTCAAATTTGGATTTTGCATATATTTCTCTAACAACCATTTTTCATAATATAATCAATAAAATTTGCCGTTTTCTGAAAAATCAAACCACACTTTGCAAATCCTGGCTACGGTCTGGTTCTGTCAAGAGTGGTCACTGCACTCTTTCATTCTCCACTCTTGCATTTAGAGAGTAATATTATATCAATTACTTTGCGTCTACAATCTCAATCCCTCTCTTTCCATTCCCCTCCCACTCCTGCGTGTAGCATCCGGTTTGTGCTTCACTGTGGAGTAAACAACTTCAGTACATGCTGATGTCACTAATAATACTTATGGCCCTGAAATCATTGCTATTTACATGACTGCCAGCTTGTGTCGTCATATTACTTTCAACCAATCAAAACGATTTCATCATTGATGTCATTCCATAGCAAATGACATAGGCCTACCTTGGCATAATCACGGCACCGGCCATTTACTATACTCTACGTTTACAATAATTATGTTTTGATATAATATACAGGCATGCTCGATTGCCGAATACAGATGATGGGAAAGGGGCACCGGTTATGAAAAGAATTCTAAGAAAATTATATTATCAAATGCTATTTCTAGTTTTTATTTCCAGCTGTGTATTTTGTGACGTTACCAATACGGATCTTTTTACATAGAGGGTGAACTTTTAAAAGTGTGTTGAAGTAGTTAGCTGAGTCACGGCCCAGATTCTGTCTACCCTGACCGGTGCGGTATTTGATGGCCTCCATTAAGTATTGATTGCTTCGTCGCACCACCGACAAAGCGTATAGCAGGCCGAAAGAGAATGATCATGTCACGTAGTCACATGCGCATACAGCCCTGTTCGTGTATAACGTGGTCGAAGTTGACGCTCTGTGGTTGTAGAAAACGCAAATCTATCTTAGGTTTCAATAAATTTGACGCAATCCTTACTCCCTGGCGTAAATTTTGAAGAATAGTAGGGAACTTTCGATAAGCTCTGTCTACGCTATCAAATTTTCTTTGACAAAAAATTGTTGTATGCCCATATATAGTCATGATGTGCCTATATATGTTCATGATGTGATGTCACCACGCTCCAAATACATTGTCGCAAAGAACGCATACATCAGCTGTTTACTGTCTCATTTATAAACGACTCTATGTTATGTACAAAAATATCTCAGAATTTATTTTTTTGACAATAAAGTTGACTTGTATCTTGTAATATAATTGTACTAACTCAACAAGACGATACTGGCAGGTCTGGCTCGGCGGTCGTCGGCCTACGCGATTCTATCATGGAGAACACAATGTCGGATCGGTTTTGATGATGATCCGTTCAGGCTGCCACGTTCACCGACTTTCAGCAGACGTCGTTGTCGCGTCGTCTATGGCCTGGCATTCACTGCGCCCGGCGACGGTCATCGGCAGACGCGATTCTATGGGAAATGCAATGCCACGACGACACGCGCGCAACGGACGATCGGTTCAGACTGCCACTGACAATCCGCGTACAGCGTCGCGTCGTGTAGCGCTCACAGAAAGTGGAGTTGTATTCGTCGTAGAAGAGTGAAAGGACGGACAGAAGGATCCCATCACCACCATCCCGCTTCATCACAGAACACATAATTAGCATACAGGTAAATTCAAATTTCGAAGTTGTATTGTTATCGATAATCCGTCTAACTCGTATATAAATATTATTCATGAATTGCTGGAAATGTCATCATTCACCGATCACTTGATGGTTCCCGTCATTTTCATTCACTAATGACTAAATTGCGTGGTTAGAAATATGATTATATTGATTAATAAATTAATTTTTCATTAACTGAATATAGAAAATGTCATGAATACTTTGTAATTGATTATTTTCGCACAACTCCCTGTGAGCGATACGACGCAACGCCGTCTTCTGATTGTCGCCAGCAGTCTGAACGGATCGTCATCAAAAACGGTCCATTGCACACGCGTCGTCGCGTTGCGTTCTTCATAGAATCGCGTCACGGACGAATCTAATCATCATCACCATCACTATCATCATCATGAAGTTGAAAGTTTTTATTATAACTATATCATTATCACTGTTATTATCACCGTTATTATAAATATTATTATCATTATTATCATTATTTTCATTATTATTACTATTATTATTATTATTATTATTATTATTATTATTATTATTATTATTATTATTATTATTAGTAGTAGTAGTATTTAGTATTATTATCGTATTCCTTATCATTGTCATCATTATCGTCGTCGCCGTCGTCGTTGTGGTAGATGGGTGAGTGGTAGGTTTATCGGTTCGAATTATTGAGTGAAAAAACATACACTCATGTAACTGTAGGTACCCACGAAAATCGGGAGATTTAACAAACAGTAAAAAAATGATACCGAATACAGATACCACTCAACTTTAACATAAGCTAGGCATATATATATTCTGAAGAACATTTGAAACTCATTTTGACAGTTCATCTTCTACATTCGGCCTACATTTTGTTTACAATTGTAGCAGCACAGCGTGGCAGCACTAAAGGTAGCATATAAAATACGCTGAGATTTTATGCGTAAGCTGGGGTTGCTTATTGTTTTCGGTTTGAAGGAAAAAAAAAAAAAAAAAAAAAAAGAAAGAAAGAAAAGAAAAAGCACGAAAATAATATTTCCTACAAGAGAATTTTTGTTTTGTTTTGTTTGTTTGTTTTTTGTTTGTTTTTTTGTTTGTTTTTGTTATTTTTTTGTGGTAGTATTTCCCGGACATTCCCGGACATCCTCAGACCCCCACCCCAGTAAATCTTTTCATTCTCCCGTTGTTCTATATATCCGGAATTGATTTTACGGCGTGTAATGGTGCAAAAGGTCTACTTTTTGAAACCTATTATTTCACCTAAATGGTTCCTAATTATCGCAAAATGCTATAGTGTTAGGGAACAAGGAAATGCCACTGTTCCCTCAGGGAAAATTCCACTGTTCCCTGATAATATGCATTGTATTTCATTTGCTAGTTCTTCTAACCATTGATTTTTAATTAAAAACTGAGGTACGAAATTTGTTGTAAATTTATCAGTGATTACAGATTGATCCGTAATATGAGCAATGTTATCTCTGTAGGCTTAAAGATGTAAGGGACATAAAATGTTACTTCTTCAGGTCCCTAACAACACCCAAGTTTAATGAAAATATAAGTGAAATAATAATTAATTTATTGGTTTCATAAATCTATTGTATAAAATAAGGGCCTCCAAATGCTAATTAGTCAAAGCTTCTGGGGCCGGCTTTTCACCTAAACCACACCAAGGGTCTCTACCCCGACCTCCGGGGACCCCAGGCGCCCACAGAAGACTCGCTTTGCTCACAAAACACACCCCTCGATAATAGTGCCTACGGGCATGATATCAATCTATCTTCATTTTAATATTATTATTATTATTATTATTATTATTATTATTATTATTATTATTATTATTATTGTTATTATTATTATTGTTATTATTGTTATTGTTATTATTGTTATTGTTATTGTTATTATTATTATTATTATTATTATTATTAAATCGGAAACATGGACTGGACTTTCCTGGAGACAGGGGCGTATCTAGAGATACCCGAATGGTGTGGCGGGGGTGGCGGGGGAAGGGTGTCCGAAAGTGTATAGAATTGGTAATGTAACAGATACGGATACAAACGTAGTCCTTAGCCCTTAATATGAGGATTATTCGAAGGAGCCGAGCGAACAGACTCGACGCTGGCCAGGGTCTACAGCACAGCACAATAAGCAGCCAACAGCTCAGCTCATTTTGATTTCAATTCTAGTCCATTTCAGTGATTATTCCTGAAAGATTTCCGATCAGTTTCTATTAGTCAGACACAGGCCTATACCAAAACAAACTCATCAATTCCTGTCATTCTTGCCAAATTTAGATCACGTGACTATCATTCTCGTCAATGATGAGTAGATATCTAGTGATCACCATCATCATAATCTAATTATTCTTGTAAATGACTAGGAAACTCTAATATCATTATCCATTTGGTGGTGTTTCAACGTTATACGTTCTGGACATTTTGCTAGAAATTAGTTTTAGTAATGATACTAATTATTATTGTAACAACAATGAGAGATACCAATTTAAGTTGCATTCATTCACAGGCATTTTGATATTACAATATGGAAATACTTAAATTTATTACAGTCAATTTCAGGATCTATATATAGAAACGGAAAACGAAGTATGCGTTACAAATTACAAGTTATTATCTCAACCAGGGAACAGTGAATTTACAATAATTTCATTGTTGCCTGTCCCAACCCATACCTATAAATTTTAAGA